AGTCCCCCCCCCCCCAATAGCTAGCAATCCAAAACAGTCCAGTGGAGTCTGAGTGGTGGGTGTTGCCTTCTGACACACTTCCGGTGATGTCAGGGGGTGTGGCATATGCAAATGAGCTCCTGCACCTTTTCCCCTACAAAATGACCCCTGCTAATTCCACCCCCCCCACACACACACCTTTTGGATGTGCTTCTACATTAATGTTCCCGCTCTGTACAGTGAAGGGTGAGTGCAGTGGCTGTAACCCACCGGGGTTGGGAAGAGGCTGCCAGCCCTCAAGTGCCTTTACCAGTTGCCCTCCAGTCTGAGTTGCACCAGGGACGCTACGGATTCCCGTAATGATTACCCTTCCATGTCAAGGTGGGGATTCGAACCTGGGTCTGACACTCTTCTGGGGGGTATTTTTTTATATGCGTGCATGTGAGTGTGTGTGCATCTGGAAGTCATGGTGACCTCTGGTGACTGACCCCTTACTGGGGGCCTGGAGGATATTCAGAGAGGTGGCTGAATGAAGCCTGACCGATTTCCCATAAGCCGCCGCTCCGCCCTCGCTCTTCCCTTTCTCCCCGATTGTGTGTGTCAATTTCCCACTATTTGCTGCGTGGATGCACTTCGCCACGCAGCTTCGCCCGATTTCCCCTGCCTCTACTGGATCCTCAAAAAACAGGATTGAGTAGACGCGAGGGAAACTGGGCGAAGCTGCAGAGCAAAATGCAGCCGCGCAGCAAACAGTGGGAAATTGACACATACAATCGGGGGGAAAGGGAAGAGCGAGGGCGGAGCAGCGGCTTGTGGGAAATCGTTCCCTGTTTCTGGACTCCTGCCTCTAGTATTCCAAGGAGGTCTCCCATCCAAGCACATGCCAGGGTTGGCCCTGCTTAGCTTCCGAGATCTGATGAGATTGGGCTTGCCTGCCTGGGGCTGACCCTCTTCACCACCACTACACCACACTGGCTCTCTTTTCCAGGGAAAGCTTTTTTTAAAATTATTTTAACTGATTCATCTCTTAATAGAAGAAATTTAATATCTCGTACCTCTTCCTGCACATATCCAGTAAAAATACATTGAGGCCGGTCTCCTTCGCTTGCATCCGCTTGAGAATGTTTTGCACGCAGAGGCAGTTGGCAGCCCGATAGGGATTCGGGGCGTCGATGGGAACCATAAAACTGTTGCCATAGTTTTCATAGCCATGGCCGGCATAATATAATAAGCCTGGGAGGATGAACGAGAGAGCTCAATTAAGCCATGACATCCAGGACAATCGTCCCTCTAATTTAAAATGACAAAACCCACAAAACAGGCTGCACTCCTCCTATAACACCTGCTGACTATATTCATCTGTTTGTTTGTTTTTTTAAATCCCCGGAGGGATATTTTGTTATTTTGCATATACTACAAAAACTACAAAGAAATATTAGGGAAGGGACTACAACTAAGGATAAAGGAAAGCAAACCACACTAAACTAAAACCCCAAGAGGAGGGGATCTTTTCACTGTTAGTAAAAATGTTAGTGCAATTAGTTTTAATATCACAATATACTTGTAGAGTTCTTGCTTATACCGATTCGCTATTTATATGTTATTTTGTTAGTTGTTATGAGAGAAGTCTCTGATCATCTTCTTATTCTTCACTTCAAAAGGCCATTTTCCAAGTCCTTCTGCCTTTACTTCGGCTTTCTGTCTCTAAAATCGTATACCACTCTGGCAGGTCCAGCACCCTTTTCTGCCGCAGAATCCTCTTCCGTTCCCAAGGTAGCAGAGTCACTCGACTTCGTTTCTTCCTCTTTGGACTCTTCGTCTGTCCCCAGCTGGCGTCTCAAAAATTCTTTAGCTTTAAAAGTGGAGTCTATCTTCTCTCTACTATCATTGATCTTAAAGATGACACCCTCCGGAACCGCCCACCTGTACGATATCCCATTAGTTTGAAGAAAAGAAATTAAGTCCTTGTAATTTTTCCTCTTTTGTCTGATTTCAAATGGAATGTCCTTTAAGGTTTTGATGGTTACATTTCCCATTTTCAGTGGAGTTGCTGAAGTTGCTTTTAAAATGGCATCTCTGGTTTGTCTTTTTAAGAACCTAAGCACTATTTCTTCAGGTAGGTTATTTTTTTTAAAATGTAATTGGAGTATGCCCTATAGACTAACTCCATTTCGTTTACCAGTTCATCCACTGTTAAACCTACTACTAGAGCGATAATCTCACCAAGCACCCTCTTCAAGTCTTGCTGATTCATTTCAGGAACCCCCTGAAACCCGATAATCATGTTAGCTTTTTCCATCTGTAGCTGCAAAACTCGATTCTCTTGGCAATTCTGCTTCGTTTCCATGTTTCCCAACCTTTTCTTCAACTTCTTGCTTGTGGTGACTATCTCTTTAATTTTCTCGTTTGCCTGCTCCACTTTTTTCTCTGTTTCATTCAGCTGAAGCTGCTGTGCTGCAAAGTTTTTATTCATCACAGTCAATTGCTGGTTAATACCATCAAGTTGCTGCATCACCGGCTTGACCATATCCGCCAGGAGTTTGAGGACATCTGCTCCCTCTTCCGGTCTTGGACTCTGACTGCCTGGCTTCGTTTTAAACTTTCTCTGCTGGGCCGCCATCTTTCCCGTTCTGTTTACAGTTTCTACCACTTCCACACAACTCAGAAAACTCGCCAAACAACTTCACGATTCAGATAAGTCTCTCAAAACACTTTCGGTTTACTTCCTCCCCTCTTCCCCTTCATTTCCATTAGCCGTTCATTCGCATAAGAGGCGTCCCTCTTTGCAATCACTGTTTTCCACCGCCGGGGGGGGGGGGATCGCTTTTCAAACTACTCCGTTTTATTCAGAACTCACATTCATTGTCGGTCGATTTCTCTGACCACGCTCAGCTTTACGCCATTCTGCTCGATCTCCGGCGCTTGTCCCGGTCAGTCCAGCTTATGCCTGAAGGCCACTCAGCGACTGGACCATCGGGGCGGAGGGGAGCCTCAATTCTCCGGCATTACGCCATTGAAGAGGCTACCCCTCAAAAGCCTCCTGGCCTGAAGCCTATCACAAAGGCTCCTCAGGGGTGTCACTTGAGGTGGCACCCCTCCAGGCCGCTAGTCTGGGAACCGCCCTTCCCTGTTGTAGAAAGAGCGTCCGCCATCGCTGTTCCATAGACCGGAAGTATATATTCATCTGCCTTGACGGGGAAGCAGGAAGCATCCTGAATGGCTACAGAGTGGATCCTCCCCCCAAAAGTACCACAGATGGAAGAATTTTTTGCCTGTGGGGTGTGATTTTGCTGCCTTCTCCCACCCCCTCACCCCCAAATGCCCCCTGAAATGCTGTTCCTGGGGATGGGAAAGCCCGGAAACAACTAGTGTTCCCTCTAAGCTGAGTTAGTGTGAGCCAGCTCACAGATTTTAGCCTCCGATTCACATGTTTTTATCTTAAGAAGGATGGCTCCAGAGCAAACTAATTGATGCAGTAGCCAAATTGCTCGCTCACAACTTTAATGCCAGTAGTTCACAAAGTAGAATTTTTGCTCACAAGACTCCACAGCTTAGAGGGAGCATTGGAAACAGCATCAAGGGACATTTACCAGATGTGTTTTTGTAGGATATGCAACACCATTACCCCAGCAACAATGGCAACAAAACAATATTGTTATAAGCACCATATCTGAAACAAGGAATAGACGGAGGCCAACAGCAGCTGTGGCCATTAAAAGGCAATACGTCCACAACAACCTGTACACCGACCGCATCTTTTTATACGCTCCACGGGTATTCAAAAGTATTGCCCTGGCCGATGGAAATGACAATGTAAACAGAGTCTGATCTGCTGTGAGCCATGTAGGTAACTATGGAATGCTGTCACAATGCATCAGCACTGTTCCCAATGTACTAGACAGATTTGGGTCCTACTGTACATTGTGCATTGGTCAGGCCACACCTGGAGTACTGTGTGCAGTTCTGGAGGCCTCACTTCAAAAAGGATGTGGGCAAAATGGAGCACGTGCAGAGGAGAGCGACGAGGAGGATCAGGGGCCTGGAGACCAAGCCCTGTGAGGAAAGGCTGAGGGACCTGGGAATATTCAGTCTGGAGAAGAGGAGGTTGAGGGGGGGACAGGATTGCTCTCTTGAAGTACTTGAAGGGCTGTCACTTAGAGGAGGGCAGGGAGCTGTTCCTGTCGGCAGCGGAGGAGAGGACTCGCAAGAATGGGTTTAAATTATGGGCAGAGATACTGGCTGGATATTGGGGGGGGAATTCAGTAAGAGTAGTTCAGCTGTGGTAGTGAGCTCCCCCTCACTGGCAGACTTCAAGCAGTGGCTGGATGAACACTTGTCGGGGATGCTTTTAAGGGCTGATCTTGCATTGAACAGGGGTTGACTAGATGGCCTCCATGGACCCTTTCCAACTCTATGATTCTATGGGTGCAGAGGTATTATGTACCTGCTGATAAGGAAATCCCACGCCCAGGAACCATCACTCCCCCTGCAATTTTATTACAAATGATGAAAATGTTCAGGATAAGGTAGTAGCATGCCATTTTTAGGAAGGCCATGGACATAAATATAGATTTAATTATGCAATTTTAAATGCAAAAGGAACTCTGCGATTCTGATGAGCCCTCGTCCGACGTTAACAACAGAGAGATCTGAAATAACGGAAAGGTTGGAAACCACACACAGTTTGATACCGCTTTTCATTTGAGCCCCTGTCAGTCAGCTGCAGCAGAGGCATTACAGCCATGGGTTTAAATGCGGCTCCAGCGCCGAGAAAAGAGAATGGGGAAGCATGAAGTCACAAGGTCTGCGGGCACTCTTCCCGCTCCAATAAATCTTCCTGCCATGGTGACCCTGGGCTCAGCAGCAGAAAGGGCAAGACCTTCAGAAAGTTACGTCAGCCACCATTAAATAAATCAAAGGTACCTAATCAAAGGGAAAGTTCACCTTGGCACCCGTTGCAAAGGGGCAACCAGTGTAGAACTATTGCTTGAACACCCTGCCCTCTTCATGCTTAACCTCTTGAAATATCGTATGACGCTGTCATATACTGAATCAGACCTGTGGTCCATCAAGGTCAGCGTTGTCTACTCAGACTGGAGGTGGCTCTCCAGGGTCTCAAGCTGAGGTCTTTCCATCACCTACCAACTGGAGATGCTGGGGATTGAACCTGGGACCCTCTGCATGCCACGCAGATACTCTAGCACTGAGCCACAGCCCATTCCCCCCTATAAATGCCTTCAATGAAAGCATAATTTATGTTTCACAATAGCAACTGTAATGCAGGGAGGTGGGAATTACACAAATAGCTTTTTAGATGGGGGGGAGAGATGGGAAGGGCAGGAGACAAAATTCAGCAAGAGGAGGTTATTTTGCATGCAGAAGGGCACAAGTTCAATCCCTGGCATCCCTACTTAAAAGAATCTCAGGCACTTTTGAAAATACACGGTCAAAGTTCTACAAATGGATCGAAGACTACAGTAAATAAACTATATTGACATGCAACACCCTAGAAGGAATAAAAGCTGTACTAGCAAAGAGTATATATAAAAATGTAAGGTGAAACACAGAAAATAAATAGTTAAATATTGCATGAGAAATTTAAACAGATAACCCAAAGATGTAACAGTAACCCATTTATGTATGTATGTTTATGTTATGTTCGTTTATTATAAAAAAATTAAAAGTTTTTTTAAAAGGAAAGGAAAAAAGAGTCTCAGGTACCCAAACTAGGAAAGAAAGCTGTAGAAGACAGCATGGGGAACCAGGGAAGAAATGCTTTGGGGAAGCAGGGGCCTGGAAACACACTGGAGGGTGTCACCTTGGGGATCACAGGTACGAGACAAGGCCATTTCTCACAACAACAAAAAACGCCAGGATACACAAGCAAGTAAATGTTTTCAAACAGATCTGCTTCCGCATAATTTATTCTTACCATATACTCCTTTGTCAAGAAGCAGTAAGAATTCATCGACGGCGTTCCGCATCTCAGGTTCAGTGAGATCGAGGAGGGAAACCACTTTGAAGTCCAGCTGCCTCAGGAGGTTGGTGAGTTCGTAAACATCCACCAAAGGTGCCTTCAGCTTCGGGTGCCTACAGTAGCTCATGTTCCCCATCAGCAAGGCGACCTTGTCTACCGCTGGAAAAGCAAAGAACACTTTGGCTCACTTCCGAGTAGAGATGCACATTTCCAGATGTTTACATTGGGTCAATAAACACTGGGGGGGGGGCCTGCCACCGAGAAAAAACTGGAAATTCTGGGGGGGAATGGAAAGGCACGCAATACTTTCTTGGTTCTGAAGCTTATCATTATTTTTATGCTTTAACAATATAAAATGCATTGTATACTATTTGGCATATTTCTGAAAATTTTAAACTATGAGTGGTTGCGAAAGTTGGACAATGAAGAAAGCTGTCAGGAAGAAACTTGATTCATTTGAAATGTGGTGTTGGAGGAGAGTTTTCCTGATACTGGGGATTGTCAAAAAGATGAGCACCGCCCCCTAGAGTGGGATTTGACTAGCTTTCAAGCAAGCCTTTACCTTACCTTTTAGACCAAATCAAGCCTGAACTCTTCCTCGAAGCTAAACTAAAGGCTATCATACTTTGGTCACATTATGAGAAGACAACAGTCACTGGAAAAGACAATAATGCTGGGAAAAGTTAAAGGCAGAAGGATAAGAAGACTCAACATGAGATGGATTAACTCAGGGGTGTCAATAAGGCCCAGGGGCTGGAACCGGCCTGTCCAGGGCTCTTAGGCGGCCCGCGAGCAACTGGTGCAAGAGAGGGAACAGGAGACTGCTTGGGGGGGAGTGGAAGGAGCCATTCCACTTGTGGCTTCAGCATGGCGGAACAACCTCATCTGCAGCAGTCAAGCAGCGTGGGAGCATCTGCCCAGTGCTGCACTGCTGGCTCTCCAGTCTGCCCATGTGGGTTTTCCTTTGCACCCCCCTCCCAGCCCATCGGGCCTTGCAGTGAGGATACACCAACTCGGAACTTACCAGCTGCTGTCCTTTATACAGTTTATATCTCCAGTACCTGGCATTACGTTTTATGGTACGCATGGCCCGCCCGACAAAGTGACATTTATGTCAGATCTGGCCCTTGTAACAAATGAGTCTGACACCTCTGGAATAACTTCATCAAGGAAGCCACAGCCCTCAGTTTGCAAGGCCGGAGCAAGGGTCGTTTGGGAGGATTTACGAATGTCACTGTAAGTCAGAAGCGACTTGACGGCACTTGACACACAGGCATGAAATTTAGAAAACCAATGCCTCAGTTTTCTGCAAGTAGAGCTGCATGCACATCCAATACCGGAAAGAGTTCTGCAAACTGCTACACTAATATGATACCTTTGCTTTTGTTGGCTTGGTGGTAATGGAAAGTGCAGTCTCCGACTTAGGCCCACTCTGAAGAGTTTTCAAGGCAAGAGACAAAGAGGTGGTTTGCCATTGCCCTGCAGACAGTGTGGTCTAATGGTCAGCATGTCGGACTGCGATCTGGGAGACCCGAGTTACAATCCCCGCTCTGCCATGGAGGCTTGCTGGGGGACCTTGGGCCAGTCACACACTCTCAGCCTAACCTACCCTGTGGGGCTGTTGTGAAGGTCAGATGGAGAAGGGGAGAATGTTGTAAGCCACTTTGGGTCCCCACTGGGGAGGAAATTGGGTATAAATGAAGAAAATAAATAAATAAAATGGGTAGCAAAAACTTGAAAACAGAACAGGTGTACTTTGTAGTAAACAAACAAAGGTGTATTAATGTGGGCAGAAACAGCCTATCATAATAGGAGTAGAAGCATCTTAAAACATTCAGCTGAACTTTCAACACTGAAAACCTTGAACTACTACAATGCACTTTTTACCATACAAGTGGGGACCCACAAGTAACTTGCGGGGAGGGGGCATTCCCCCACCTTTGCTTCCTTTCCTCTCCCCCCATCTTCCCCTTTCTTTCTCTCTCCAAGCCAATCCCCCCCTTCTTCCCCCCCCCCAAGCCAATCCCCCCATCTTTTCCTTTCTCCCCCCCCAAGCCAATCCCCCCCTTCTTTCTCCCTCCCTTTTTCCCTACCTCTGAGCCTTGCAGCTTTTTTGGGGGGGGGGATTTAAACCCCCCAATGATTTTTTTAAAGTTATCAGATATTTCTGCAAATCTAGGGGGTCACCCAAGTTTGCAGAGAAACTTGTTTGGGGAAACTATGCCCCCTATCTGTGGATTTAGATAACCTCACATAGGAGACTGTTGAGAATTAGATTAAATGCGGGCAGAATTAGTCTAATTTAAACAGTAACTATATCCTTGAAATATGGCTTCTCTCTACTGTACAATCAAGGAACCAACGATTTAATCTGCAGTACATGACAGTCTTCATGCTACACATTTTGCGTGAGAGGCACCTAGCCTTAAAAAGCATTTCACTCATTCCACAAGAGTGGGTTACTGGATCCCATTCAACGGTGGCTAAGAGATGGAGCCAGCCATAGGAACATGTGGTTCCTTCTCACAGGGACTGAACCTGGGATCTTCATTATGCCAAGCAGATGCGCTACCACTGAACCACAGCACCACCCAAACCGTGACCTTTACTGTGTTTACAGCTAAGCAGAGTTTCATTAAGCAGGGTTTAAACCAACATGGTTTCAGGTCACAGCAACAATAAAACTAAAAGAGGATGAGAGGAGAAAGTATGGTTAAAGAAGCACTAAGGCTGGGATCATACGCACAGTTAGACCCACCATAGGTGCGAATGCTGGGCGGATTTAAAGGGCGCCATCAGACAACAACATCTGGGAAGTGCCCTGCAGCTGTCGGCAACCTGTTCTGCTCCGCCGCAGAAGCAGAGTTAAAAGACACCGGGGAAACTCAGGTAGTTAACGGGTTGCGATGGGCCACAGACGGACTTTCCCGTGTCTGATCCCTCCAGTGCGCTCTCATGGGGTCGAGATGGTCGGATCAGGCCACCCCGACTCCGTGCCGTTGTTCCCCCCCCCTTCACAGTATGTGCATCATCGCAAACTCCATAGGGAGCCCTCAGTGTGGAGGTGCAATTCATTGATCCCTCCGTTAAGCGCATGGGGGGAAAAGGCACAACCCTTCCCCCCGACTCACCTGCAGTTGCATCTGATCACGCACTGATGGACTGCGCCCGCAGCTTCCAAGGGAGGTGCGATCGTGCAACTGCGGGCCAAATTCCTCCAGAGGAAATAACCTCGCTTCCCCCCCAGTTTTTCCTGGTGCGTCTGACTGCAACTTAACACTACAGCATTCTTAGAGTCCAATGGCACCTTTAAGACCAACAAAGTTTAATTCAAGGTGGTCTTATAGGTGCCATTGGACTCTGCTCTATTGCTTCAGACCAACATGGCTACCCACCATGAACTGCGGAATTCTGTACTCCGTCCTGTAATTTTCGATAACGAAGGTTATAGTGCCATATACGTGAGCGGCAATGGAAGAAACATTTAATCCTAAGAAGAGTTACACCCTTCTAAGATCACCGACCTCAATGGATTTAGAAGTGTGTAACTCCGATTAGGAATACATTGTTAGGTTCAGTTCTGGTATTATGCTAAACAGTGGTTTGCTGTAACCTGAATTCAGAACCCAACCATGGTTTGAGCTTCCAAATGAGCAGGCAAACTAGACAGTAGAGCCGCTTATGTCTTGAGCAATCCGGCTGCTAACTGCAATAGCCAATGGAGATAGAGCCAGTTTGGTGTAGCGGTTAAGTGCGCGGACTCTAATCTGGGAGAACCAGGTTTGATTCCCCACTCCTCCACTTGCACCTGCTGGATGACTTTGGGCAAGCCGTAGTTCTGATAAGAGCTGTTCTCGAAAAAGAGCAGTTTCTGTCAAGAGCTCTCTCAGCCCCACCTACCTCACAGGGTGTCTGTTGTGGGGAGGGGGAGGGAAAGGAGTTTGTAAGCCACTCTGAGACTCCTTTGGGTAGTGATGGGCAGGGTATAAATCCAATCTCCTCCTCCACGGCTGTAATTGTCATGACAGACACGAAATTTCCTAAACCATAGTCTGGCAGAGTGTCTCAACTGAGTCTCAGTGTTTATTTTTTGAAAAAAACATTTTCTCTGTGTATCTCCTTTGATACTGTATATTTTGCTATTCTGTTTGAATATACCAATAAAGAAATTTGTAAAGAAATAATAAATAGCCTTGAGCTTCAAAAGCAGAATAAGCAGATCTGACAGGTTTCCCGAACACAATCACAGATGGATCTCTTTGCCTCGGACTTATTTCACTGTGCGCACTTGAGGCTTTAGAAATAAACAGATCATTTATAGATGAAATACAAGCTGGCAGGCTGCATCACAATGAAAGCCATTTTACAGAGACAGTTACAAATGATTACAACACTCTCCCCAGTTTCAATGGCCACCTGTTTAGCTGGTTTGTGCAACAGAGTCATTAATACAGGCCTGTTTACACTGACAGCATAATATCTTTGAGCTCCGCTTATCCCAAGAGGAACTGTAAATTAGTAAGGACAATTTACAAACTGCCAGGCTTCATATAAACAGAAGACAGCATACATTCTGTTTCTCTTTTGAGAATTCAGTCCTGAAAGAGACAAAGGCATCACATTTTTGTGTCATTTATCAAACTCTTGGGTAGAAATTCCAATATCCAGCCTCCACTTCGCCTAGGAAGGTCAGGGCCCTTGCTGTTTCCAATGTTCCTGTCACAGTACAATGGATTGCAGATGTCGATGGACTCTGACCTGACAGTATAAAACCTGCACTTAAGCTACAGCAACCTATAACCAACGTGCTGGCTCACAAATTCAGTACTAAACAGAATGAACACCCTTCCAAGCCCATTGGCTTCTGCAGAGGGGAATGTGATAGTGGCTTACAAAATTATGCACGGGGAAAAATAAAAGCCCACCTCCCGTGAATCAACAGATCGAAGACCTTAGAACTTTATTATTTTAATTTATATACCGCCAGTTTGGTGTAGTGGTTAGGAGCGCGGACTCTCATCTGGGAGAACCAGGTCTGATTCCCCGCTCCTCCATATGCAGCTGCTGGTGTGACCTTGGGTCAGTCATAAGTTCTTTCAGAGCTGTTATCTCACGAGCAGTCCTCGAAAGAGCTCTCTCAGCCCCACCTATCTCACAGG